TTTTAAAAAGTGGTACTTGTGAAACAGAATCCAGGTTTTCACCTTTTTCTGTGGAGTAAATGCCAGTGTCATCATTAGTGCAGATGAAGAGTTTGATCCTCAGAATTCATCTGTTGGGACACTTTATCCATTTAAAACCTACTCAAATGAGTGATTCCCTTTTTTTTTTCTGCCATCATTCCATACCTGTAGGAAATTGTGTGGCTTTTCTGACTTTTCCCTGCTTTCCCTGCTGCAGTGCTTGGGACTGCAGGAGGACTTTTTTTTTTCCTTTGGTTGCTGATGAAAACAAGATGTGTTTCAGTAGGATTTCCTAGTGAACAAGGTTTTACATGAATGAAGAAATAAATGTTTGATGTAAAGGCTTTCATTGATTCCCAGTGGCACGGGCCATACAAATTCCCTTACAGCACGCATTTCTGTCTCTTTTGCATAGTCAAAACGATTTCAAAAAGATGAAATTTTAAATATTTTATTAACTGCTGAGAGTTCTACCTTCTTGCTGTGATCATTTTCAAGGCAAGTCAAACCAGTACCTCCTTTCTGTGAGTATTAAACAGCTATTATTATTATTATTATTATTATTATTATTATTATTATTATTATTATTATTATTATTATTATCAGCTGTGGAAAGGTCAATTCTTTCACCTTGGGGAGGTGATTTAGGAGAGGAAAAAGGAGTCAAATAAGTTACCAAGCCCAAGGTAGCAGTTTGTAACACATTTATAATTTTAATATCAGGGCTGAGAGATAATGATATAAGAGAACTTTTTTTTCTTGTGGCAGGATAATGCAAATTCCAATCAGGTACCTTTGAGGTATGGTTTTATAGACTCTGTCTCTTCCATTATCTGATATCTCAGTGTCATGACCAGTCCATTGGACTGCACAACATCTATATTATTATAGCATTGATTGCTCCTACAAAATAGGGTTTATAATTAGGAGAGCATAAAGTTACTACCTGGAAGAGTGGATAAGGAGAGAATGAAATGAAGAAGTCACTTAATCTTAGTACTGCAGTTCTGCACAGTACCATTTATTTTTCTCCTCATGTAACTGAGTTCTGTGTTGATAACAAGCTACTGAGTTCATAAATCTGTGGCAGCTATTGAGACTTCTCTTTTAATAACAGAGCTAATGAAGGAGCATTAAGGAAAGGAAAAATAGATTTTGCAGGGTTTATTCCCATCTTGATACTAGGCTGAAGACTTGAGCAAGGAATTGTTTTTATAACAAAGTCCATCTGGTTTTTTGCATTTTTTTTGCATGGTCACCATTGCATTCCAAGGTTATGTGTACTAAAAAGGAACTGCTGATTTGATTGCCCAGCATTTAATTTTATATTTACTTCATTTTCATTTGATCCAGCTAGCTAAAATGAAGATCATTTTGCGATATAAAAACCTGCTTTGTTTCCCATTTTAATGCTTCACTGTTCTACCTTTCACAGCTCTAAGAAAAATCCTTTCAGCAGACTCAGAGGGCACTTTTCAGGTGGTGTGTTCATTTCTGAGATAGATTATAATGTCTGTAATGGGAGCAGAGTGTGCCCTGCTTTAAAAAAAAATGGATTTCTAAGAATAAAGTGAGAAATAAAATTCTCTACCCTGTGGGTGGGGTTACCCAGGAGGTACACACAGAATCCATGACCATGTTTTCTAGTCGTGTTTGCATGTTTCATGGTAGCTGAGCCTTTGGGCAATGATTTTTTATTTCATTTCAACTACTTTTAGCTTACTCTAATTTCCCACTCCATCCCCCCATAAGAAAAGGAAATAATTTTACCATTTATTGATGTTACAGTTAATTTTATGCCAGAACAGTCAGTTATGTTTATGAGCCAGACTTGCTTTGTGTTGCATTCAATATGGTCTGTCACATAAAAAAGGTAAATACAGATGTTGGAGGTAACTGAATTTGCATGTTAAAAGTGGTGGAAATTCAATGATTTCTCAAAATTCTTGCTCAAGTGAGTGAAATGCCAGCCCAATCCAGTTTCACATCTAATATCAAACCCTTTGTTTTAACTTAACACATAAGTATTAAGGAAATACTTTGTTATTACCTGAAGCAGGAAATTATATATTTTTACGATTTTCTTGTGTGGTTTTGTGTTTTCCTAAAGTCTCAGCCCAGCTTTGCAATTAAAGGAGAAGCTGAGCTGTCAAGTGCAGAAAATGTTCTAGGATGGGGAGAAAAAAAAAAAATAAAAATTAAAAAAATTACCAATTCTTAAACTTTCTTGATTTTTTTTGAACCTGTGGAAGGCTGAATCTGGTGCTGAAGGCACTGAGGGAGGGTTCACTGCTGTCTTTACTCTGGAGGAGCAGCAGCACACTGGACTTGGTGCCTTCCCTTCTTTTGTGCTTTAATTGCCGGCTCTTAGTGACACTGCAACCCGGGTGTAGAGATTTATTCCCATGCAAAACAGATTGACTTAGGGTAATTTGAATACTTTATGCATGGCTGGATTCGTTAGGAAGAGGAGGCAAGGCAGAACTATAAAAAGAACTAATAATCTTGCTAAAGGAGCCGTTAATTCCCCCTGGCACTGGAGACACTTGCAGGAGCAGGGGAAGGGGCTGATTCTGCAGCCTCTGTTCTCTGGCCACACACAGATCGCAGAGATGAATTTTTTTTTGTCTTGCTGAACTGCCTGGACCATTTCTGTCTTGGCTGGGTTGGAGCAGTGGCTGAGCTTGGAGGGGATCTCTGGAGGTGACCTTGGCCACCAGAGCCTGCTTCCCTGGCTCTGTGCAGGGGTGTGCACACACACATTCACAGAGCCGGGGAATTCCAGCTTGGGAATTCT